TAATGTAATTTAGCACTTAACCATCTATTATCTTGTAGTTTGGGTATTGCTTCAGATACCAAAAGTTAAATTAACCTTGATTCTTCAAGTAGGTTACAAAAAAACCCAAAAACAAAAAACCCTCCTGGTAGGAACTGAGTATCGCATTAATGCCTAATCAATACTTTTCCTGTTTTGTTTTGTTTTTGTTTTTGTTTTATTTTTATTCCTAATCAAATGTAGAACAAAACTGCCCTGATCCCAGTTATAGCTACATCTTTCTTTTTTTTTTAATGTTTTTTTTTTCCATTTATTTTTGAGAGAGAGACAGAGACAGATGATGAGCAGGGGAGGCCAGAGGGAGACGGAGAAACAGAATCTGAAGCAGGCTCCAGGCTCTGAGCTATCAGCACAGAGCCCGACGCCGGGCTTGAACTTGTGAACCGTGAGACCATAACCTGAGCCAAAATCGGCCACTTAACCATCTGAACCACCCAGGCGCCCCACTACATCTTTCAAATTATGATAGAAAAAATCTTTGAAACACATCTATTTTTTATTGCAATTATTTTTTGCAATTATTATATTGCAATATATATGCAATATATATGCAATATATTATATTGCAATTATAAATAAATTTATTTGAAATTATTTATTGCAATTATTTTTTATTGCAAATATTCTATTTGCAAGAATACTTATCTGTTTCTTTAGTTTGCTACCATGCAAAACTTTGAGAACTTACCCCCTTCTATTTTCTACCTCAATTTAATGAGAGATTTCTACTTAAACTCATTCCCTCCTTGCTACTTGTTGCCCCTAATACAGCAACTTGAGGACTTTAAACCAATTTCTCAGGTTATCACTATAATTGGAATTATAAAGTGTTTCTTCATTTAAGAAATAAAGGGAATAGTATATTGACACACTAATGTAAACATCTAGTAATACATTTCCTTTAAGAGTACAGATTGGATGGCACCTGTGTAATTTGTGAATTGGGTCCTTGTCCATGTTACAATTTATAATAGGATCTTTCATCTCAAGCTAACTTGAACCATCTTCAAGTATCAGCAGGGAGACCTCCTTGCCTCTGTCTCCAATGGTGTCAAGCTGTAATGGTTGCCTCTTGTCTTTCCTAAAAGGACCCTGAAATCCAGGTTATGCAACTAAGAAAATCCCCACTAGTCCTCTGCTGAAGACATACTGCTTACATCAGTTTAATTAAAGATTAATTTATTGGACAGAAGCAGTCCTGTTTCTGGTGTATCTGCTGCCCATCTTCTCAGGAAAGCAGTATTAGTCTGGTTTGGGTTCAGTTTTGTTTTGTTTTTTGTTTTGTTTTGTTTTTTTAGCTGAGCTGGCCACTGACAGGTAACCCAAGAGTGGCTCTAGCATGGGCCAGCCAGTGATCTTGGGGTGGGGTGCTCATAAATACTAACTGTGGTAAGGGCAATAATTAGCTACACCAATCAGATAAGCTTCTTTAGGAATTTATACTAATTCTGAAAAGTGTATAAAGAATTTGCCCCGATGACAGAGCAAACATGCAGAATGGATGAGAGACACCATGAGTTAGGGAACCACATAGACTGGGACAGAGAAAAGAGCATATTCTCTGGAAGAGTGGTTCTCAAACTTTAACATGTGTCTGAATCCCTTGGAGGACTAATTGAAACACAGATTGCCGGGACCCACCTTCAGAGTTTCTGGTTCAGTGCTCTGGGGTGAGGCCTGAGAATGTGCATTTCTGAAAAGTTCCCAGGTGGTGCTGCTGCTGTTGGTTCAAAGACCACATTTGAATATTGTTGGAGGTTGGACATAAGAGAGATGCTAGATGGTACCATCTGTTTAGAGGCTGGGCAAAATACAAGCAAGAAGTAGAAATGCTGTGCTGGAGCTCAGGGAGAAAACTGAGGCTAGAGACAGAGGGAGGAAAGCTACTGGCACATATTAAATGTCCTTATCCTTTGTTTCTTTGAAAAATCATTTAGAGAAGCTTACAGAGGGAAGAGGAGAAACCAAGACTGTAAGATTAGTGAACAGTAATGGCAAGAGAGGGGAGGAGAGTTAACAACAAAGAAGAAAACAGAGATTACAGTCTAAAGTCAACACAGCTGCAGTGGTTAAGCTGAAAGCCTGGTGTGGAGCCTACAGGCATTCAGAGAAGGTTGCCTGAGCTTCATAGGAAGAAAAGAAGGAAGGAAATATTCCAGTTCCTTGAAAGTACACCAAGTTTTCCTAGGACTAAACTCTCAGTGGAATGTCTTACTTGGAAAATTACATAGGGAACACGAGTATAACTGGGCTGGACTCATAACATCATGCAGATAAAGAATTCCTGTAGTAGTGTTGTATAGGACACTTTTAATAATCATTCCACTAATGTTTGCTCATCCACAGTAAAGATTATAGGTAAATTTAGTTTTGGAGTTTTTATTATATTATTCATTTATAAAAATATGCTAAGTGCTCTATGAAAACACACACACACACACACACACACACACACACACACAGAGATTTAGTCTGTCCGTTTCTAACTTCCACCTGATTCTGGATTCTGATCCTTATCAACTCACACTAGACTAATGCCACAGCCTCTTAAGTATTTGCCTGTGGTTTCTTTTCCATTCAAGGTGATCACTCTGAGAATCATCGTATGAAACTGACATTATTAAACTGATGTTTAATAACACCGCTTGCTCAAAATCTTTCCATGAAACTCTTGTGCTTATAAAGTACAAACTCCAAACTCCAGCCTGTATTCAAAACTTTCATAATATGGCCTCAACATGGCATTCTGGTCTTTTGTTCCACGAACCACAGGAAGGGACTCTTTAGTCTAACATAACTAACACATTCCTTTAACTAAAATTGCTCTTTGCCACATTTGCCCCTAAATTCTTGGCATTCTCTCACCTGAATATTCAACCCCTCCCTCTCATCAAAATTCTGTCAATTCTTTGATCTTCTCCCTGTTCTATACCTGACAACTTTAGCTGCAAATCAGTTCTTCCTCCTTTGGAATTCTGTGATTCTTATACTTATGTTGCATGAGGAAAGCCCCTCTCTTTGTCTAACCAGACTGAAAGCTCATTGAGGACCAACAGTGTGCTTTAAAGCTTCTTTTTATTCTTCATATCTCATGGCAAGGAGACTTGAATATAGTAAACACAAGTATTTGAAGTGAGATTGATGGTGTAAAAGGGAAAATGGTTAATTATACCATACGTATTATTTTATTGAATTTTTTCCAGCTATAATGATTGTCATATAAAGTAAAGTAGCATTTTAATGTGATGTAGTCATTCATCTACCAAGCTGGTTTAAATAATTGAGTTGGGTTTCTTGTTTTGCTTTATTATGCACAGAACCTACAGAGAAATTATTTGGGATAGTCATAAAAGGACTCTTCAAGTAAATACCAATCAGCACATCTTTTCACTCGTTTTTGACAGCTAACTAAACATTTACTTATATCTTTCTTAATTATAAGCTCTTTAAGACCTAAGACCATGTCACATTTAGTTTTCTTTTTTTGCCAGTGTATGCTCATTTTTTACTCATGCCTGATAAATATTTAATGATTTGAATTTATCTAATTTATACATATCTACCTCCATTTTATAACCCATCAAGAAAACTTACATTAACCCCTTTATTTAATATTATTCCTAAATTTAATATTTAATATTATTCCTCATGGTGTCTCTCATCCATTCTGCATGTTTGCTCTGTCATCAGGGCAACAACAACTAAGTGTCAAAACTTTAAACCAAATATGTTTATGATTTAGGTACAATTATCACCTTGCCTAATCTCAGCAAATAGCTCAGTAATTGTATAGGGCACTGAAAACAAGAGGTGGTTTAGGAACACAGGCAAAATTTAAGAACACTTTGGGCAACTATCAGTTTTTTTAAGTTTGAAAGGCTTTGGAAATGTTTATATCCAAGACAGTGGCAGCTGTGTATTTATCATTTTTAAATTTTGTTTTGCCAGAGGACAAGGCCAATTCCAGAAAAACAAACCCAGCCCAGGCTTCTTAGAGTCAGGTCCCATTGCAAAACAACATTGTTCTTTAATCTTTACGTTCTGAAGGAGAAAAGAATAAAGCATACACACACACACACACACACACACACACACAAAGCAAAGAAAAATTACTTTATCCCAGAACAGCAGTCTTTGGAGGGCTTCTGACTTTTCTTACACCAGTTTGCATTCTTGTAAAGTCTTAAAGAGAATTTTCCAAGTTACAACTTTTAACTATTGTTCCTCCTTGTACAAAATGTAGATAAGCTGGAAGTTGAGTAATATGACCTTGGGTTTTATGTGCTCTGTGTCTCAGTGCATTTTAGAATGAATTAAGATTTATTTAAAAAGTTGTAAGAATAGACAAGGGAAGGAAATTACCTTTAAACGTTTGGAAAAATAGGGCTTAGAAAACCCTGGGTTTTATAGAAGGGGCTGCTTGATTGGATAAACACAATGGGAGAGTCTCTTTATTCTAGAAGACAATCTGACCTTTTAAAGCAGACATTTCCTTATGTATATGTACCATGTGATTTATATTCTGAATTGCATTTCTGGTGACTTTGCTCTCCATAAAAAGAGAAGCCCAGAAGACTTCTGCCTTGCATAAAATTCAAATGTGGGTTCATGGCTTTAAATAGGAGCTGTCTATCCAAATGGGTAACAGAAGGTTGACCACTATGGTTTCCCAACAAAGTTAACCCACGTGGCTTAAAGTTGTTCCCCCTGAAGGCCTCTACTTTGTGTCTTCAGCCATTGTAATTTTTCACCTCAACACCAGTACTATTCTCCAAACAACAGCTGTGTGTCTGCCCACTTCCTTTACACTCTGGATAAATCTGGCCTTTCAGAATTACATTAGAGCAGGCCTAGCAGTAGTGGGTGGATAATCATCTGCTTTATAAGTGAGGAAAATCTGAAAAGTTTCTCTATTCATTTTCTCAAATATCTTCTATGAAATGATACCAAGGCATCTGACATATTGTTGATGGCTTTTCAGTGTTTAGAACAGTCATTCCTTAACACTGGGGATAAGTGAAAGATCCAGAATAACAATTAGGAAGAGTAGCTCTAAACTTTAAGGGTAGCTCATGAGAATGCTGCCCTCCACACTTCTCTCCACCTCCCTAAATTCCAGCAGAACTTCAGATTTTTCCCAAATGCCTCCTCTTCTGAAAAGTCTTCCCAGTCTTCTCCAGCAGACCATAGCTTTTCTTCTTCTGCAAAACTAAGGGTATATATCTGATGGTTAATAGAAGGAACAATCCAGTGTAAATTAGAACTTTCTAATAATTAAGAGTTCACTAATGTTGGCACGGGCTACTCTGGGACTTGGTGAGCCTTCTGTGACTGAGACAACTTGGAGGCTGGAAAAACAATTGCCTGTAATGTCACAGGGGCAGTTCACTGCTGAATAAAAACTGAACTTGATGATCTTCTCGTCAAGGTGTCCTCTAATGCTGAGCCTCTAGGTACTGCCTTGTGTTCTCTGATGAAATAAAATACAGAGCTGTTCTTGAAATTTTTCATTATTTATTTTTGCAACTCGTTTAATTTTTTTCTGATAAGTATTAAACAGATTAAGAGTGGCAATCTTTTGATTCCTTTTCAGTGCTTAGACCACCTTGTACAAAATAATTGTTAAAAAAAAAAACCTTACAAATTGAACCATGAGAGCTAGTTTTGAAGGGAGGACAACCTGGACACAATAAACCAGATATGGAACAGCACCTAAGCACCACATTTCTAGGGATCAGGTCCCACTGAAGTATGGGAGCTCACAGGAAGTTAGAGCAATTCGTCAGCAACTTCACTTATTCTACCATTAGGTCAATGTAGAGATTATTGCTGCCATTGCTGACCAGCATGCAAAAACCGTTCTCATTCTCTTCCTTCTTGTCACCATTCCCGATTTTCCACTTACAAGAAAGATATTTGCAGGAAACACTACACAGAATGCTTAATAATTGTGGCAAATAGATCCATAAGTTCTTTAATTGCTCCCCTTTGATTGGAGGAAGTTCCATAAAAGCGGAATAGAACCCAATCACAGACAAGATAAACACAAATGTACTAAGCCCATAATGGGGTTCACAGATGTGCAGTATCTACTGTTGATTAAGAACTAGGAGGTGGTTATACTGCTTTGCCCTGAGAAGTATGGTTTATGGATGAGCAGCATGGGCATTACATGGGAGCTCTTTGGAAATACAGCATTTCAGGCTCCACTTCAAACTGACTGAAGCAGCATCTGCATTGTAACAGTCCAAGGTTGTTCATGTCCAAGTTTGAGAAGCACTCATGTACCAGGCCTTGTCTTTTGGGAGGGGGGCTCATCAGAATCCACTAGGAAAATTAAAGAGAAAAACCCTGGAGAATCTGTTATGCCCAAACAAGGGCTTCCATTACTCACGAGAATTGTGGTAACACATTTCTTGGGGTTTGAGGAGGAAAAGTGACTGTAAATCATGATCCGTGGCTATAACACTAAAGCCCATTTCTGTGTATTGTGTTTTCTCCCAGTAATGCAATCAAAAATGAGGTTTTTTTCCCAACATTGTCTAAAATTGAAAGAAACTAGTCATACCTTTTCTTTAGATAAAAATTGCAATTTCTTTTTAACTATGATAGAAACAATATTACAAATGAAAAATTTTAAGGCATCCTGTTGACTTCTAGCTTGTGTGTAAAAAGCCCTAATGAATAAGTCAGAAAGTTTCTACCATGGGAATGTGCTTTGAATTTATGGTCATATCTGGCAGGTAGAGAGCAGAAAGGATTACCACTGCATTAAATATTTAAAGCCTGAGCATAGCAATTATATTTAAATGCATGCAGAGGATAACTTAAGAGATAAATGTATGAAAGTCACCAAAAATATCCCTTATGTCACTTCTAGATTAAATGTTTGATTAAACAAAATATTCACTATCTTAAGACACATTCTCCAATGAAGAACAGCTTAAAATACATTTTTCCTTAATAAAGATGAACCTGTATTTACTTTAACATTTTTTTTAACATTTTTAACGTTTTTATTTTTGAGAGAGAGAGAGACTGAGTGCGAGCAGGGGAGGGGCAAAGAGCGAGGGAGACACAGAATCCAAAGAAGGCTCCAGGCTCTGAGCTGTTAGCACAGAACCTGATGTGGGGCTTGAACTCATGAACTACAAGATCATGACCTGAGACAAAGTCAGATGCTTAACCGACTCCATCACCCAAGCACCCCACTTTGTTAACATTGAAAACTTAGGGAGGGGCACCTGGGTGGCCCAGTTGGTTAGTTGGCTGACTCTTGATTTCAGCTCACAGTTCATGGGATCTCACAGTTCATGGGATCAAGCCTGTGTCTGGCTCTGTGCTGACAGCGTGGATCCTGCTTAGGATGCTCTCTTTGACTCTCTGTCTGCCCCTCCCTCCCTAGTGCAGGAGTGCTCTCTCTCTTTTTCTCAAAATAAATTAAATAAATAAATAAATAAATAATGAAAAAAAGTATGCTCTATTTTGAAGCAAACAATAACTGAGTAATATAATTTAATTTAAATTCAGGGAGGGTCTGGTATTCAGAGAATGGAGAATATTTCTCATTCTAACTGCAAGAACTCTTTTTTTTTTTTTTAATTTTTTTTTCCACGTTTTTATTTATTTTTGGGACAGAGAGAGACTCAGAGCATGAACGGGGGAGGGGCAGAGAGAGAGGGAGACACAGAATCGGAAACAGGCTCCAGGCTCCGAGCCATCAGCCCAGAGCCTGATGCGGGGCTCGAACTCACGGACCGCGAGATCGTGACCTGGCTGAAGTCGGACGCTTAACCGACTGCGCCACCCAGGCGCCCCTAACTGCAAGAACTCTTGACTACAAGGGTGAGCCACAAAAAGCCCTTATCTAAGTGGCAGCCACCTGGGTTTCCTCAGTCATCAGCATGAGAAGGCAGAAGTCTGGGTCCAAAGTTAGAAGGATGAATCTCAACTTTGTCCTTACTCATGTAAGAAAGTGATTTAACCTTTTTTTTTTTTAAATAGGCCTCACACCCAGCGCAGAGCCCAATGCTGGGCTTGAACTCACATCCCTGATATCAAGATCTGAGCTAAGATCAAGAGTCAGATGCTTAACCAACTGAGTCACCTGGGTACTCCAATTTAACCTTTTTGACCCTCACTTTTCTTATCTATAAAATGAAGAAATCATTATATAGTAGGTTTCTGTGAGAATTGTTCTTAGGCTTATTGATAATGTGTATTACTATATGTACTATATTGCATTTACTTATTTTCTCTCATTGTGGTTTTTTATTTTATTGGATGAAATGATATCATGCCTTTATAAATAATGTATGAACTAACTTTAAAAATTTGGTATTTAACTTTTAATTTTGGTAATCATTATTTTACCAAACAAGTTTTTCATTCTGTATAGCCAAATATTTTGTTTTTAAGGTTTTTCAATAGTTTTCATAAAAGTCATTCTTCAGCTCAAGAAAGGTAATACTTTACAAAAATAATCTTCTAGATTTGAATTATAATGTGCTCATCTTTTAAAGTATTTTTGTTACAAAATTATAAAGCGCACGTTGTAAATAAAAATATTTTGGTTTTGCTAACATTTTGTTATATTATTGTTAATATTTGGTTTATTACCTTTCAGTCATTTCCTATGTAGATTGTGTTCAAAACTGGAACAATGCTATGTGACATAATAAGAAATATATATATTTCTTATATATATATTATATATATAAGTCACACACACACACACACACACATATATATATATATATGACATAATAAGAAATATATATTTGGTCTCTGCCTCCAGTTCCTGACACAGAGCTCCTAAAACACTCATATTTTCTTTGAAGTGATAGAGATGCTATGAGCATCTTTTGTTTTAATATTTGGTCTTTAGCCCAGATTCCTGGTCCAAAGGCTTTTAGACCCTTGGAATCTCTGGGGTGATAAGAGAATTCATATGCTAATGAATGATGGGGTAGCTAGTGGTTCCTAGATAGCTTTGGGGCACTCTTCCCCCAAATAGTTGTCTGTTCACCTGCAACTATTGTTGTAGGAGGGTTGTTCACCAGAAAGACCAAGGCCTAAGTAGAAGGTTGAACCTCTAGGGAGGAGAAATAGGCTGGACTTAATCACCAATGGCCAATGATTTAATCAATTATTCCTAAGTTATGGAACTTCCACAAAAACTCTAAACAACAAGATTCAAAGTGCTCCCTGGCTTGGCTAAACATGCCTGGAGAGGGTGTGGAAGCTCTGTGCTGTCCACCATCCTGAATACCTTGCCTACGCATCTCTTCCATTTGGCTGTTCCTGAGTTCTATCTTTTGTAATAAACCATTATTAGTGAGTAAACTGTTCCTGACATCTGTGAGCTATTCTAGCAAGTTATCTAATCTGAGGAGGGGATTATGGGAACCCCTGATCTATAACTGGTCAGTTAGCAATATGAGAGCTCTGGACGTGTGACTGGCATCTGAAGCGGGGGCAGTGTGTGGGGACTGAGCCCTTAATTTGGGAGATCTGATGCCATCTCCAGGTAGGTAGTGTCAGGATTGAATTGAATTGTAGCACATCCAGCAGGCATCAGAGAATTGGTTGGGGGAGGGGAGGACGGGGGGGAACCTCACACATTTGGTGACAGGGAAGTTTTGATGTCAGAGAAATAGGCTTTCCTTTATAAAGTTTGGTGTCGAATTTTTTTATATGTAATATTATGAGCATTTTCACTTGAGATTAAAAGTTTTCATGGTAGATATGATTTTTAACTGCTGCATAATATTCCACTTTATATATGTTCCATAATAATTCTCCTGTTGGTCTGTTTTTAAGATATTTCTCATTTTTATCATAAATAACATCAATGAACATTCTCAATGTGACTATTTATGCCATACTTCATTATATTCTTATGATAAATTCCTAGGAATAGAATTAAAAAATGGAAAAGCATAAACACATTTAAGGCACCTGTTTATTGCCACAAATCTAACACCTACATGAGCTATACTAATTCAAAATTTCACAAGTTTTTGTGAAGGTCTATTTGCCACACATTAACACTGAATATTACTCTTTAAACAAACTAGCCATCAGAGAGTAGCTCTTTTAAGTTTTAAATGTTTATTTATTTTTGAGAGACAGAGAGAGGGGGAAAGAGCAAGAGGGGCAGAGAGAGATGGGGACAGAGGATCTGAAGCAGGCTTTATGCAGACAGCA